ACTAAGAATTAATAACCCGCTCTGTAGCTTTTAGCTCATTATTTTGGTTCTCTGGACCTCAAGTGAACTCTCAGGTTCTTTTAACCTCCTTTAACATTTTATAGGCCTCTCCAAATGGTGATGATTAAAATCATACATCACCACTACGGTCTAATTGCACTTTTAAATAACTTACTTGGACCTGTAGCTGTTGCTACTGGTGGAGCAATGTCAGGTGGAGGCTTTAGCTTCATCAGCTCCATTAGACTGTTGCCCTTTAGGCCAGTGCTCTTCACATGGCCGGTCCTAAGAAGATCTTTCAACTGAATCTGCTAAGAAAATAAAATGTACGATCATAACCAGGAGGAATGCCTTTCACTCTGATGTCCATTTTTTTCCCGCTATTGAACACTGAAAACATGTGCTCCACCAACTGACCTGTTCTCTGTTAGAAGGCACGACTGTGGACGCTGAAGGAGGAACAGTTGTGGAGGAGGGGGTGGATGAACCTCGCAGGGCTGAATTAGCAACATGGACCACCTTGGTGACCGTTATGGTGTGTTTGATGGGGTTTGTAACTGATTGTTTGGTTGCAACAGCTCCTAGCGACGGCAACTGATTCAGCTGATTTAAGACAAATGTGGTGGTTGATGGCTGAGGTTTGTGCTGTTGGAGACATCAGACAGAGAGTTAAGTTTGATTTTAATACATACCACAATACATCAGCAACAGCACAGCATTGTGTCTTCAATAATTAATCAAGGGAACATCATGTTCTGTAATCTCACCCTGAAAGTAACTATAGGGACTGGAGCTGGAGGCTCAGTTCGAACAACTTCCACTGTCTCTGCCCCCACGCCAACATCCAGGGCACTGATGGAGATAGACTGAAAGAGAACCAGAAATCAGAATATTAAGTTATAAAAATACTGCTTCTGGTCCATAATAACTAAAACTAAGGATCATCTTACTTGCTGGGTTGTAGAGGGCTGTGCAACATCCTGAGAATCAACATCAAATAGGCCAATATCATTTGGGCAAATGCCACTCTCACTTAGGGCAGCGAGAAGTAAATCCTGTCCAGGATCCATCTGCAAGAAAAACGAATAGAACTTTGTTAACATCTATCGTGTGCTGACAACATTTATTCATAAACAAAAATGTAATCCCAACAATAATAGCTGATAAAAGAAAATACATCAGCAACAAATTTGGTAAGTTTTCCAGTGTTATAGTTTGTTTTGTATGACAGAAAAAAATCTCTCTCAAAACAAGCAATTTGAAGACCATATACTGGGCTTTAGGAAAACGTGATCTGCAATTTTCCCCATTTTCTGACAGTGTATAGAACAAAAATTCAATCAATTAATCAACAAAATGTTCAGCAAATTAATCAATAATGAAATCAATGGCAGCTGCAGCCATAAAAACATTGCAACACAGAACAAAGGATGTTTGTACTTTGTTATACCACACACTAAACTGTCTGACAGACTAATCTCTGCTTGAGCAACTGGATGAACCAGAATTCTCTCACAACCACAAGCATGTAAATCATTTACAAATAATTTAAATAGTGCTGATATAAATAGGCAATTAATCAACTGAAAAAAAAATCAATTGCAACTATTTTAATAATTGATTAATTGTTTCAGCAGCTTTGTCAAACAAAAATGTGAAACATTTTAATGGTTTCAGGTTCTCAAATTTGAGAATTCACAGCCTCTCTTGTTTTTAAAATGTCACCTTGGGCTCTAAAATGTGAATTTTTCAGGTTTTTTGTCTTTTAGAGATGAAATTAACAATCAAGACAATAATGAGCAGATTGATCAGTAATGAAAACAAAACAAAAAATGTTCATTGCAGTCCTGAGTTTACATGTTATCTACAGAGGACAGGTGCTAAAAGATGCTACTGTGCATGCTTACAAAGTAAAAGTCAAAACAGTGATGTAACCAAAAACTGCACAAATAACTGCATGGCCCAAAAAAATAAATAAATCAGAAAATATGTATTAGTAGATCTGGAATAATTAGCTGATCAACAGAAAATAAATCAGCAACTATTTTAATAACCAAATAATTGTTATAAGTCATTATAGTCAACTTTAAGCAACAATGCCCACAAGTTTGCAGGCTGTTTTCTTTAATGTGAGGATTTGATGCCATTTCTTTGTCACATATAATTGTTAATTGCAGCCCTTGACATTAGAAAGACTGAATGACCCACATGTATAGCACACGTGTGGATTAAACAAGCAAAGGGAAATTCAGATTCAAGTTTCTAAAGAAAAATAAACCTGTTACATATTTTTACATTCAAAATAAGACGACCAACCATTTGTTGTTCACATTTAACACATAGGCAAAGTTACTTCAGTCTAATGTAAGAAAAATAATACGCCTCTATTGTAAATGTTCGCTTCACCGCATCTAATCAAGGACCGCACGCCGGAAAATGAAAATGAAACTTTAAAAAGGAAACCGCCGACCCGGAGTACTTCAGTTTAGTCCAATGTAAGACTAACGATAGAAGAATGGGAGATATCCATTTATAACTGAAGCGTTTACACACCAGATCTGGTCCGACTCTTGATCCGAAGTGTCCCAAAACAAGACACGTGTTTGCAATGCCCTGCTTTCAACTTCCTGATCCCTCTGACTCTATGTAGCTCCCCCCACCTCACCCCCGGACTCATCGCTAACTCCACCAGTTAATAATTATAAACAAACAGGATCTAACTCTTCAGTGTGTCACGGTAGCAAACATTCAACCCGCTGATTCAGTTATGGCTCATTTGCAGCAGCTAACCACTGACTGACAGTGGCATGCCAGCTTATAACTGGCCTGGTTTAGCCCAGGGTGACACAGCTTAGCAGTGCAGTTAGCTCAAAGACACTTTCACATTCATCACTGTTACGAGACGAGGCAGTGAAGTCAAATGTGTACAAACTAACAACAGGGAACTTAATCCCAAGCAATGTGCAGCTACAGATTTCACAAAGATCAAACAGGCGTTGTAAATGTCACAAATGTCAACCACTTCTTTTAACCCCACTGTAGCTGCCTCACAGGTGGTGACATTATGCATTTATAACCTGATGTTTCTAACTTTATCTCTAACACCGTTGGGCGTCAACGAGCATTTTCGTTAACATTTAGACACACAAGTTTTTGGTTAGCCAAGTTACGCTGCTGCAGTAGGAAACCGAATTACCAATAAACGAAGCTACAGCACAAATCTCCGGTAACAAAAACATCACCGTATGGCTCACTGTGTCCTCCCCCAGTCCGTCTCACAGCAGTTGTGAGCGGCTCGGTCGGCTAACACGGTTGTTGTCGCTCTCACGCAGTGTCATCGCAGTCGCTAGCTAGCGTTAGCAACCAAAAGCGTTAACAACGCTGCCGTTGTCGCATCAAACCGAAAATAACCAGCAAAAATATCCGTCAGGTGTCAAAAACACGACGGCAAGTTTTTTGTTTTTAACGACGGAGGTGTTCAGTTGGTGTTACATGAACGGTTCCCCCGCAGATGTGAGGTTACCTGGCGGTCGGTTGGACGGTCTGTCGGTCGGCGGGTTGTTGTCCTCTCCGCTCCGCCGCGCTCACGCCATCTTTTTATCAAACGCTCCGCCGCATGCTGGTCACGTGACGCGCGGCCCCACAGCGGCCGTTTTCTCAATCAAATTCTGCTCCCGGCGTCGATGTAAACGGGTCTTGGGGCAGCCACGGGGCACCCTCCGACGAAGGTGAACCGACAAAAGCGAAAAATGCGGCATTTTTAAAACGTTAATGCAAACGACAAACATAGCAGAGTCACCGAGCTAATGTAACATCACGTGACCCCCGCTAGGTCTTCGTCGGAAGTGACGATTACAGTTTCTTCTTCTTCGTCCTCTTCCTCTGTTGCTGCACCTCGTAAATAAACCGATGACTGCAGCTGGGTGCTACAAGGGGAAAACACAGTTTGTTGATTTTTAATATGAAAATAAATAAAATAAATTTAAAAAAATAAAACACCTACAGAAAACAGACAGTAAAAATAAATAAGAGCCTCTCTTCAAATGTCAATATAGTGTTACCTTTTATTCCATGAACTGAAATAATTAAACAGCAATATCAGTATGTGCAGACATTTGGGTTAAAAAATGTGTTAAAAAAAATCTGAAAAGTTAATCAGTTAAATCTTCCATATGATAATGAACATTTAAAAATTGAATTCACTTTTCTAATTTTCAGTTTTTTGTAAGATCAATGTATGATAGAGGTACAATCAGTATAAAGTGATAGTGCAAGAAAAATACAAACAGAAAATAAATAACATAGCTAAGGGCAGTTTTTTGTGCTGCTTTCTTTTCTATAATTCAGTGATTTGCAGTACAGAGCTAGTTCTTTCATAAATACAACCAATAAATAAGATCAGGGCCTGTTTTTTTAAAACTCAAGACAAAACATATGACCAGTTTACAAAACATGCGTTGTTATAGACAAAAGTATAAAATGTTTATAAATAGCAGCATTACTGCATTACAAATATTATTCCAGTTTTCATGCCATGAGAACTGCAAACAGAACCACTTAACACAAATCAACCAACTATTAAAGACTCTAACATTAAGAGATTTGGTCGAATTTAAAACATCTCAAATCTTGTATCTTGGCTTTACCAAACATTCAAAGATTCAAAAGCTTTATTGTCATATGCAGAAATAAACAACTTATCAATACAATTAAGTTTCTTAATTTGCTGTCTCTCTATCCTGATGCATTCAACTATCGTATCTCACAAAATATACTAGAAACTAAGAAATTGAAATAATAAAAAAGATAGATGTTTTCTGCGGCAAATATGTAACGACTGAGAACATATTTTGTAATTCAAATATATACAAACACACATTATATACAAATATATAAATACATGTAATGAACACACATGCACTACCGCTGTCGGCCTGAGGGGGGCGACATTGCCACGTCTCTCGTCTCCTTCATTTACATGGAGAAAAATGGCGGAGTGGAGCTGCGGAGCTGCGGAGGCTGCATCGGCGAAGCTGCTGGCAGTTTAAACACAACACACGGGCACACAGTCGCCGCGGACGGGGCCACCGTGTAGGGAGGGCACTACCGTAGGAGCGGGGCGAGGTTAATCTCCGAACCGGCGGACAACTTCATTTATTATTTTCCCTCAAAACGAGAAGCCCGAGCCGAGTGAGGAGCCACGAAAACAAGTCATGAACGGGGTAAGTTTGCATGTTAGGGCATCACCACCACCAAACATAGGTGAAGTAGCTCAAACGAAAGCTAGCTAAAGTCGATCGTTACTTTATTTTAGAATGAGACTAACGTGTTTTTCTGAAAAGCTACGTTACAGAAATTAATATTACAATTATTATACGTTTTACTGTACGTAAAGTGTACTTACAGTCGCTACAAATGAGCCTTTTTGTTGAGGAGTGCTTTGCTAACATTAGCTAGTAATGAACGTTACATGTGCCCCTCTGCTGAGGACATAATTATAACAGTGTTTTCTGAAATTGGACAAAGCAAACAAAGACATACAATTGTCTTTTAGGGGCGGTTATTGTTAATAAGCAGATATTTTAGTGTGTTTAGTTTGACCAGTAGGTAAAGAGACAACAGGCCTGTGTGTCTGTGTCTTGATTCTGGATTTAAAGGGTCTGACTGGAGAGTTGATGTGGGTGTGGAGCCAGCATGGTCCCCTCCTCAGGGCCCCTCCCACACCACCGGTGGAAAATACATTCAATACTGTATTTAAGTACAGTTACAAGACACTTATACATTACTGCAGTATATTTATTTTTTGTGTTACTTTGCTGTTTGCTGTTATTATGTCATGAAAAAAACCCACACATAATATTAAAGTTAAGTGGGAATAGGAAGCATATGACATCATGATAATACTGTCGCAGGTTCATTTCTCCTACAGAAACAGAAATGCCTGGAAACTCATTTTCAACAGGTGCGCTTTATTTATATAGAAACAGAAAATGCCGAATCAATGGTCGCTCGTCCCAGCTTGGAGGCAATGCTACGTCTTTTATGGCGTTAAGCATTACAAAGCAGATTTGTCAGCTGCACATTCATGCTAACAGTCTCCTGTTCTAGCACATCCTCTACCCTACCAGATCTGGTAACTGGGGGAGGCCACTGAAGTTCACTGAACACATTGTCATGTTAATAAAAACCAATTTGAGACGACTTTTGCTTTGTGGCATCATGCTGGAGGTAGCCATGAGAACATGGCTGGGCAACCCTACCATATCATATTCCTCTCTATGTAACTGTCGACGGCCTGTTCACCCGTCTGTCTGATCACGTCCTGTATTGACATTCTCAGTCACTTGAGGAAGAGTCGCCCTTTGGTTTTTTACAAATCACACTAATGCACGAGCATTCACGATCAACACATGAACCCTGTTGACCACAATCCCTGACCCTATTTACTGACGTCTTTCCTGTAGATCTAAACGCAGATGTCACTTCAGTCACTGTTCCTATTGAAACACCAGCCAGTTTGTGACTGAAGCTCCCGCCATCCAACAATGAACCCTCTTTCAAAGTCACTTAGATCACTTCCTCTTGCCGTCTTGACACAAAATCTGAATCAGCTGGGTTTTCTCAGTTTTATTACACATACCACAGACCATGATTGGATGTTAACTGCTTATTTGTACCGTGCAGTGCACCTGTGTGGAAGCATCTGGAGTTTCTCCACTCATTTATTCATGTTTTTTCTTTAATTTGTCACCCATCTCTCTCTACAAAATTCAGAATACGTTTCTATTTCTCTGTGTGTTATGGTATTTCTTGGTCTACAGGTGGGTTGGAGTGGGTGTAGTGTACATAATGTATATGTTGAGTGGTAACATATGACTTTTATCTTCATCATTTTAAAGGAATAGTCTGACTTATTATATTTTTAGCCAAGAGATAGATGAGAGATCAATAGCACTCAATATGTCTGTCTGAGCTTCAGAGGTGATGATGGCCTGATCTTGTCACCTTTGGACAGTGATGTTTCATGTGTAACAGAGAGACATGAGTATTCCCATAGTATTGAACTGAACTGAAGTTTTTTTCTCTCTGCATTCCCAGGATATTGTATGCAATTCAGTCACTGTCTTAAGCTGCACCAAGTCCACATCACCAGGTCAGCATGAAAACATGATCAAGCTGACACAGGAGGGGAGGTGCCCTGCAATAAGCTCCCAGCAAAATGATGCTCAGTGGCAGGGAGAAGGTGAGTGTAAGATCTGTTGTAGCTCTACAGCCTGACGTGGTTTTAGTGTGTAATCACTCCACAGGAAAGCAAACAGATCACTATTTATTTTTATATTTCAGCGGATTATGTAAGAGTAGGGAGTGAGAAGACCTAGAAACACATGAATGATGCACTTGTTATTTTCTGTTCATTTACCTTTTCCTTATTCCTCCCAGGTAGGAGAACAAATACCATCAGCACTACACCAAAAGCCTCGAAGAGCCAGTGTTCACCCTGCTGGTCAGATGAACAGCCGTCACCTCCGCAGCTCTACTGCTCTCAGACCTGCCTTCGTTCCCCTGCTGAACCCTCCCTGCCTCTCAGTAACAGCCTGTGTCACAGTCTTCTCCTCACTGACAACAGCGGCGCTCTCCACAGCCACCAGAGGAGAGGAGTCCGCCACCAGAGGAGAGCGACCCGCCCCAAGGTCGAAGGAAAGAAACCACCTCGAAGAATGTACGCACGTCCTCATTACTCATTCGTTTTTATATCCCGCCACCATGGCACGATGTCGTCATGCTGGCGTCATCGACTCTAGATGATGGATAGTAGAAACATCATACTTACACTATAGCTACCCCATATGTAGTAGATGATCTGAGTAGATTTTAGCATGCCTTTATGCACACATTTGCATATTGATTAGGGATCAAAACTGATCAAATAACATAATAGTGTGATGGCTGTTGACATAGTTGTGATAGTTGTTGTTGCATTCTCTTTTTCCACTAAAGTGCAGCCGGGAAAAACTCCCAAAACCGAAAAGTTACTGACTACTACCCAATAAGACGAAGCTCAAGAAAAAGTAAAACAGAGCTGAAGGTAAGATGAAATATTTTTTTTGTTACATACAATAGCTTATTGTATGAATTGGGGTAGATGTTAAATTATAGCTGGAGCAGATATTACTGTATTGGCTTGAACATAAGACGCTTGTTTTTGTTTTTTGAGAGAGAGTGGGGTTTACTTTTAAAAGTTTGGGTCTTATTGGAGGATTATGGGTTGTTTGTAGCCTTAATGTTGCTAGGTTAGCAAGTTACTTTTAGTTTGTTTTAGTTCTAGTCTTAGAAAGATAAACATCTGTGACTGACTGACTGACTGAGTGATGAAGTTCACCCTCTTTCAAAATAAATGTCCGGTGGGAGAAAGAGTACATTGACTTCAGTCTTTTTTCAAAAATAGATGTTGGGTTGTTTATAATCCAGGTCATTTTATAATTGGGCCAAGACAGACTGATTTTGCTGGTGTGAAGTTGAGATTGTTTTTATTCCCAATAAGGATATTTTACGTGTTTTTGTGTGTGTATGTGTGAAAGAGGGAGAGGAATCCAGTCTGCTGTTTTTCAGTAACGCCATCTCGTGTTTGTTTTTGTTACTAGTGTGAACAAAAGAAGCTCATAGACGATCTCATCACAAAGGGAATAGAGGAAGGAATGGAGGTACGTTCAGCTTTCTGCTTCCCTCTCTAACATCTGTGTACATCTGGGTGTTTCATAAAGCAGCGTTTTTATTTTCAAGAAACTCCCTTTTTAATAATTTGGGTTTAAATTAACCTGGTTGAAGCAAACAAGGAAATGTCTCCGTCCGTATGACACGATCACAAGCAGCGCAACAAACTGAGCTGTTCAGTCTGATCATGTTATCTTTACATTATGGAGCCTTTTAATCCTGGTTTCTTTAGTTAGCCTCAGTCAATCCAGGGTTTTACAATAATCTCTGCTTTTCTGAAATAAACAGAGACATGATGAACAAAGATCAGCTGTGTAGTGCCACAGTAAGGGGGGGAGGGAAACCTTTTTTTCCAGCTTCTCCCACTTATTTATTTATTTATTTATTTATTTATTTATTTTAAAGGTGCAGCATATAGAAGGAAAGGGGAGAGCAGTTTTTGCCACTCGGTGTTTCCAGAAAGGCGAGTATGTGGTGGAGTACCACGGAGACCTGCTGCAGATCACCGACGCCAAAAAGAGGGAGGCCGAATACGCTCAAAACCCTGCCACTGGCTGCTACATGTACTACTTCCAGTACCTCTGCAAAACATACTGGTATGCTAAACCAATCCACTTTTTCCCCATTACCACAACATTTAAATGGATTCCAATGTTTTACTGGAGATTTAAATGCAGAAGCTCTTAAATAAACACCTTGGTTCTACCGGTGAATGTTAAATTTTGACAGTTCATATCAGTCAGACGGTTACAAAACCTCACAAATAAAAGCTGCTGTTTCATAGGAGACTGTTATTTGTTCAGTTCACACTTCGTGATAAAGACACCTGTCAAATATTCTGGCTCATACTTGTCAGAGGTTTAAAAAAACAAATGTCCTCTGAAGGTTTGAGTTTTTACCAGTAAAAACTGTGATACGACAAGTAAAAGAAATGTTGGCATTCAGCAGAACATTGATTAATTTATCTAATGCAGAATTTCATTTGAAAATGTAGAAATTAAGAGATGCTGTTTATTTGACCGTGTTCTGCTTGTGCATTAAATATTTCCCATCGTGTTCGTTTTCTTTCTGCAGCGTTGATGCTACGAAAGAGACTGGTCGAATGGGTAGGTTGATAAATCACAGTAAAAACGGAAACTGCCAAACCAAACTCCACGACATCAACGGTGTCCCTCACCTCATCCTCGTCGCCTCTCGAGACATTGACGAGGGCGAGGAGTTGCTCTATGACTACGGAGACCGCAGTAAAGCCTCCATCGCAGCTCACCCATGGCTCAAATACTGATTGAGGGGACCTCCAAAAAAAAAAAGAAAAAAAAAAAAAGAGAAGGGAAACATACAGTAACACTTGTGTTTCTCATTTGCTAGTGTACAAAATGCCTTAGAAACAGAATGTGTACCCTTTTTGTTCCAGTATTAACGGCGCTGGATGGGTTTAGTAACTGTTAACGGGGCTGATGGGGGTTGATCGGGTACTTATCACATTTCAATTGAGGTCCATCTGCCTTGTCAGATGACATCTGTACTTTTATTTATATGTGTATATGAAACATTCTGGTTGTTTTGCAGCACATTTATTTTGTACATTTTGTATTACCTATAGACCAGTGCTTCTACAGCATGCAGGTGGTAGTTAATGCTCTGCATTTTTATACTGCTTTTTCTTAATTAGTGGTTAGATACTTAGCAATACTTCTATTTATGGCCCCAGAGCCCTTTTGGATCAGCAAGAATTATCAGATGCAAATTACAAACCCTTTTTAAAAACGTATTCTGTCAGAGTGGAATTTAATTTCAGCCATTAAAACTCACACAGTCCACCATTGTTTAGTGGGAGTGTAATAGTTTACCACGCTCACGGTTCAGTTGGAATTTCGGGTGTTTGGCACTAGATTATACTTTTTCTTTTTTTATTATTATACTTTTTTATGGCGTTCATCATACAGACTGACAAGATCACACAGGGACACAGAACCTACTCAAATGTACTGTTTTCATGCCTTTAGTCTTTAACACGTATAGTATTTTTTAATATTGAAGATGCAAATAATATTTGAATCATGTCGTAAATGTTCAAATAATTCACACAACTGCAGTTAATTTTCTTTTCTTTCTTTAAATGTTTATGAAAGTTGATTATAAAGCAGTGAGTGATACGACTGATTCAAACAGACTCAAGAATTTAAAAGATGGTTTGAATTTCTACATCCTACACCGGCTCACATGATTTATCTCGTCAGTGTTTTCAGCGGTCAGGTCTCCCTCTTAATTTCACTTGCATTTAAATTCTTCACCTGGTGACACTGTCTATACTACTGCACTATGTAAATATATTTATTAGCTTGCTGTTGCAAAGTCAGGGCTGGTTTAAAGGAATAGTTTGACATTTTGGGGAAACATGTTTTAGCTGCATTTTTAATTCCCATTTAGGAGAATTCGACAGTTAACTTATTTAAAGTTCATTCTAACATACTAATGGTCTTAATTGTGGTCATTATTGTGTTTGTTTCTATGGCGCTGGGGAGGAGTTAATTAATTCCCGTTGCGTTCTGTGGCTGGTTTACTTTGACTCCAAATCCTCCAGTCGTCCGTTTGGTCAAACACAAAACCACCGACCAACAAAACGCACATTTAAACGTAAAAAGTCTTCTCCTATATGAACTGTCTTTTACCACAAAGCTATGACCAAAAATGAATATGAACAGGAAAAATACACTCAGTGTTCACTTTATTAGGTACACCTGTAATCTCAACAACAGCTCAGCTATAAATTCTACCTTTACAAAGGTAAATGTTCAGGTTTTGTCGATACTGTCAGAGACATGTTAGTTTAACTGTGTTTGTTATTGAGGTTGTAGTTTGCAGTGTTGAGAGGACATTATATCAAGAGGTACATTTCCACACCACTGCAAACTACAACCTTTTATAATAAACATACATTTGAATTTTCACCTTTCTGACAGAATCGACAAACACCGAGCATTACAATCTACAAATGTAGAATTTATTTTTGCCCTATTTTGAGAAATTAAAGATCAAAACAAGTGAATCCAATAGTAAACGTAGATGTACCTAATACAGGAGCCAGGGAGTGCAGTTTCAGCCTCAAGGTTACAAGCTAAAGTGTCTTATTGTTGTTATTGTAGTTGTTGGGGGGAGGGGCAGGTCAGTGGATTGTAGCCTAGCTTGTTTTTCAGGGGAAACGACTCAAATGGTCCAAAAGTAAAAAGCATCCAGTCTGGCTGGTAGGCAGATTTTGTTACTTTAGGACAGGCTAGCTGTTTTCCCACCTGTTCCCAGTCTTTATGCTAAGCTAAGCTAAGTATTTCCCAAAATGTCAACAGGCTAAAGCATCTGCTGGACCAACCACATGTGAGCAGTACATGTATACTTCACATAAATTTCATATTTCTACACATGTAAACAAAACATCAGTGTCTGCAACCCACGGGTTTGATGAACCGTTACACTCCCGCTGTACATCCTAGATGTTTGCAGATTTTTCTACACATCAGTTCCTCTTGCGCACAAAGTTGTCACGTCGTTCACAACCAGATATTCCATGTGAGAAGTGTTTAACAGCTGAACTGCCAACAGGTCATTTTTCTACTTTATATTTTAGTAGCTTTTTCAAATCTGTTTTTTCTATATGAGTTGTAGCCGAAAGGTCCAAGAGTTCTGGCACTGCTCCAGTCACACACTTAAAATGGTTTTTTTCCTGTTTTATCTTTTCAAATGACTTGATTTTTGTTTGATTTAGTTACACAGAGACAAATTTAACGGTTTTTAAGATAATTGTTAAGAAGCGTGTTCAGTATGTAGATACTCGGTTTGACATAAATCACACTGGTACTTCATATATCAAATTTAAATTACATAAGTAATGATATTTTTGACTACTTGATTTATATTTAATCTATTAAATGTCCAAAAATAGTGAAAAAAATGCCCATCACCACTTCTCAAAGATCAAGGTAACAACCTCAGATGTCTCGCTGTGTCCGACCAACAGTCCAAAACTTAAATATATTCAGTTTACAATGATATAAAACACAGAAAAGACACATTTGAGGGGCTGGAACTAATGAATGTTTGATATTTTTCTCTATTTTTGCTTGAAAAATCATTGAAACGATCAATTAATGATCAAAGCTAATTGTTTCAACCCTAATAATACAGAATCTTATTGTCATTTACAGTATTTTACCTTGAATAATCTTTGGTCAGACTAAGTATAAATGATTGTACCAAAGAAAAATGGCCACATGCAGTTCAGCAGTTGTGATTTTGATCCTTGCTAGGCAACACATTGGACAGGTAACAGTAGAATCCTCTTCTATTTTGTCACCTGGAAGCGTTCTTAAAAATAACAACGGTGATATTTTTACATTTTTATCACTGTCAGCAAATCAAATGAAAAGACCCAAATCAACAATGTGTTTGTTAGTCTGTTTATAAATACTTTGACTTCTCTAAAACTTCCTAAAACATTAGAGAGTCCCCAATTGGTGGGGACTATTTTCAGCGGCGGATTAATCTACGTTTAGCGCTGTAGTGAGTATTTGTTGCAGCAGGACAGGTGTGTGTGTGTGTGTGTGTGTGTGGCACTGAGTCAAATTAAACACACACACACAAAATACTTATTAGTATACGTTCATTGCTGGTTGCGATCTTTTCAGGGGATTTGTTGATAGTCGGAAAAATACTGAATATCACCAAACTGCGTTCATCGTCATTATTTGAATTTATTGGTTCAGTACAATGATGAACTCAGATGTTTGTTCTGGCACAAAACTTTTTCTTTCTTTTCTTTTTTTTGTGTCTCCCCATGAAGTAGCAGTTTCAAACAAATATCCTACCACTTTATACACGATATGCATCTTCACGTTTTCTAGCAGGATAATCACATTTTCCTTAATTTAGATGTACAGCACTTTCTCTTCTTCTTCTGGGTGCTGTTTGTATTATTGCTAGTATTATGTAAATTTTAAAAGGTTTTTTATTATGAGTTTGGTGTAATTATTTCGAGGTATCCTGGGGCTCTGTCTTAAAGGAATAGGAACATTGTGAATGAAAAAAAAAAACCACTTATTTGCTTTCTTGAGAGCAGATGAGAAAGTTATTTATTTTAAGACCTCTGAATTTCATTTCTTTCCTTTTTTTTTTTTTTACTTATTTGTAGCAGCTTTGTCTCAGACTTACGCTAACTCGGGACCTGACCAAATGTTATCCATCCTCTTTTGAGACGAGAGCGTAGAGGAGATTTTCCATAAGTGTTTTCAAAATCACGACGACACGACAACTCCCAAATATTCAGTATATTATTGAATTCCTGTTTTCTTTTGATCCCGTGTTTTAATTTCATTCAGATACTGTGGGGGGAGAAAAAAAAAGAAAAAAGGTGTCATCAGTGTTAAAATACAAAGAGCCCCGTGTGAGGAAAGTAAGTTTCAGGAAATATACTGTGTGTAAAACATAAAAATACATTTTAACCTTCCTCCTCAACACTTCCCCTCCTGCCACCTCTAACAGTAGCATTGTGTTACAAGTGTGAAATGTTTTCTTATGAGCCTTTCTTACACAAATGTGTTACCTTTTGGATTATTTCTTTTTTCTTTTTTTCTTTTTTTTTAATGTAGAACTAATGCAATAATACCTGAGGGGCAAAACTGACCTGTTGGCCATTTTAGGACATAATAGATCTTTGCTGTTGTAGCGTTGAATAAATCTTAATGCTGGGGGTCGATGAATAAAGATGTAATATGCAAGTAACAGGAGTGGCTTTCTGATTCGTTCTTATATTAAAATGAATAATTACAAGTTTAAAATTGTTTTGAATGAGTGTAAATGAAACGTGTCAAGATCACAGTGTAAGTCGAGCATCATTTCATTTTTTCATTCTTGTACCTAAGGGATATTTAGTGGGATAAAACATGATGAATTATTATACACTCACCAAGCACTTTATTAGGAACACCTGCTTGTTCATGCAATTATCCAACAGCCAATCGTGTGGCAGCAGATACAGGTGAGGAGTGTCAGTTATATGGAAGGCCAGGGATGTCACAGGAAAAGTAATGAAGCATTTCCTTAATTTCATATTTTAATAGGCATTAAAAATTAGGAATTGTAAAAAGAATTTATATATGAACAATGAATCCATCAAAAGATACTTAAGGTTTAAAAATGGATTTACAAAAACAACATAAAACACTTATTTTAAAAATCAGAATATATTCCTGGATTCAATTTCCATTTCCTTTTTCCAGCTGCTTTTTCTTTTCCTATTAGCCAATTGAATTGCTTAGTTATTTGTGTATTCCCATTTTTAAACCATTTCAAATTCTATTATTTATTAATGAATTAATAAATGTATTATTATACATTATAATGTACTATTCAATGAGTGTTTTATGCTGTTTTTGTAAATACATTTTGAAATCTTAAGTATTTATTGATGAATTAATCGTTCATTTATACATTTATTTTAGAATTCCTATTATTAATGTCTATTAAAATATGACATTAATGAAATGCTTTATTATTAATCATATTTCCTGTGACATCCCGGGTCCTCCATACAGTTAAAGCCAAAGACAGACAAATATCACAGATTTTATTACTGAGGACACATGTTGGAGTAAAAGCCAGTTTATTTAATAAAGCACTGATCCATTCATTATATCTTTTTAAATATCCATTGTAACTGGGTTCACAGGAGAGATGGTGATCAACACTGACTTAAATAAACGGCTGAAGAACCACAGTGAGCATTTGGAACAGGATGCCTTTTGTTGACCGTATTTCCCTTTAAATGTTTCAGTATTTAAATTCTTAATGCGGAAATAGTCCAGATCCCTTTTTATTCCAGATACAGTCTAGAAAGAAAAAAAAAAAACACTCTACTGCAACGAGGATCATCATGTCATTGTATCTGTGAATGTGTAAAACGAGGGCAGCTGCTCCCACACTCTCGTTTTTAGCCTCATTACGGTGTTCTGGTCGTTTTACATTCATTTATTCCACCTCGCTGGGTGAATATAAACCAACATAAAGTGCCACTACTATTAAAACACACCCGGCCTCACCACAGTTATTCGCTGCCTCTCAGGGGTGAAGACACCCGTCAGTGTTAAGTGTGAGGGCAACCTATAACAGCAGAAGCATCAACCACCGATTAGCATTTTTAAAAAATAAAAAATGTAAATCACTCTTGGCACTTCAGCTTTATTAACTTTGTTTTAACCATTTTTGAAACCAAGCCGAAGCTTATCTGATGCTCTTACTTCTCCTTCACGCAATCTGAGGAACATTTCAATATTTCCTTCATGATTTTACACTCTTATTAAAATATAGCTTGAAACCATGTTTATATTTGAGACCTGGTGATGAACAAATGATGCATAAAAGCACAAACTTTCTGGTAGGTATTAAACAAACTTAAATTTGTAAGTGCGTACAGCTGTGTATTTTCTACATGATCTGTGCCGTAAGGTAGCGGATATTTATGGTGTAGAATAGCGTATTAAAAAATGATAACGCTAGGTTTAATGTTGCTTTACTTGGTGGTGAATCCATATTATCTTGTGGAACATTACTGTTTTCCAAAAGGTCTTTGGTTCAGTTTTACCTTTCCTTTAGGTGCAAGAAGTGCATTTTTAACTGCCCTTTTATTGGAGAATTATACCTTTAGTTAAAAAAGGGCAGAATAGTGGCTTAAATACTGTAAATGCTGAACTTACTGGAAGACTAATGATTTTAAAATTATAACACTGGTGATATATATTTTTTTGTTGCTGTCAACAAATCCTCCGTCTCTCAATACTGTCTGTGCTTTCAGCTCTGAGCCCATTGGTTCCCACTGAAGGTGTAAACACCTCACAAATATATACAGTAGTTTCATTTGTGGAAACGTAAAATCATTTCTTCGAACAGCTGGACACTGTTGTTTTTAAGAAATGTCACTCAAACAGGAGGAAACTGTACATTTGCTGGGGACTAGTTTCAGCGGCGGATGAATCCACATTTGGTGCCTATACCTTAGGCATCCTATGATCAGGTTTAAATCAGTTACTTAGGACAAGACCACTTCAGTGTTTATCCCTCCTCAGTTATATTAAAACATAAATAAATTAATACAGGCAGGTAACTCCTGAAGTTTAATACTGACAATTCTGCTGTGGTAAAATCCAGTTATATTTTGTTTTAAGCTGAAACGCGATGAGGAATCTGCACTGATTCCTGCAGCTCTTATATGAAATGTGAGGAAGCTGGTGATCTTTTATTTCTTTTCGATATACTGCATCTGTTTATTTGCTTAATCAACAAAGAGGAAGGTAATTTATTCCAACCTGCTTCGGTTCAGCTGGTGATACTGTAATTGCTGTTATCACGGTGGATATTATTATTATTGCATCTATTGGTCTTACATGTGGTGGACATTTGTGTTCAGTCTGTAATCAGTGAGAGTTAAAGAGATGCATCAACTTTACAATTACAGAAGCCCATTTCTGCCAGAAAAAGAAATAACAAATAGAAAAACATAAAAAAATAACAATTAAGTCAAAAGCACTGACCCACAAGTCAAAATGAAGTGATGTTAAGTATCTTAAAATTTTGACTTAGTAAGTAAAAGTTAGAAGATTTTAAAAAAAAATCCCCAAATAAAAACCAATCAAACAATGCTAAATGTAAGTTTTTGCTAGTGCTACATCAGCCAACGTTAGCGTTAACAGCTGTTTACTCAGTAGTATAGAGCTAATACAAACAAACTTCATCCCTTTACTCACAAACAGCTGTCTCCAGTGGTGGGAAGCGACGGCAAATTTTACTCTTCTTCTATTTCTATCACTTCTGTTCTACTACTGAAGTTAGCATGCTAACTAGCTAGCCCTAGCACGTCCCATCACGTACTACTACTGTGTGAGTCACTGAAGCTCTCAACAAGCGACCATTAGAGTAACTTACATCTGTTATTATGTAGAGATGCAAGTTTAGAGAAACTTACATTTTGCACCTTTAAATTAAAATACCTAAACTATTTTTATTTTCTTGGCAGAAATGAGCTTCAGTTCTTACTGTATGTTGCATGGCGTACAGTATATTATAAATAAAAGCATCTCTTAGTGTTTTTTTTTAATCCTTTTCTGTACACAGCTTTTAAATTGTGATTCTATGCAACATTTTTATAAACAGGCCCCGGATGTTTTTAGTTTGTTTGAATGCTGGTGACGGACCTACGAGCTGCCCACACGGACAGGGAGAGAAATATCAAATAAAATCACTGGGACACAAAAGTGTTGCTCTCATTTTGAGAATAAAATCTCCAGATAATAAAGTGGAAAAACTAATAGTGATTGTGTGTTTGCTTTACTTATCTCTGCAGGGGGATCCTCATCCTTCAGCAAACCCTTTAAAACTCAACTCTATTTTCTATTTGAGCGATAAAACTCAACATCTGGAGTTGTGTCATTTTTTAAACACACACTTTTGTGTCCCAAACTTTCATCTACGTGGACATTTTCACCCACTGTTTACTCTGGACTTGTAGCAACCACATCATTAACCACTTGAAATGCAACAACTTTCCACTTTTCCATCCCACAACTTGAATTTACCATCCTCCTCCTCCTCGTCCTCCACCTCCTCCTCCTCCTCCACCTCCACCTCTCTGAGTCGTCTGAACCCTTCAGGCATCTTTAAAGTCGAACAGTCTGTATGTGCCATTGCTCACTGATATATTCAACAATTCTCATGTGTTTAAATAAAACCTGTAGAGGGGTTTCTCTATCCATTCACTCTTCTCTCCGTCCTCTCACCTCAAAGCACATGATGCTTCAGCTGCAGTGTGAGTCACTAGTGGTGCTTTGCTGTGCAGTCGCTGGTTCACAAGCTGGCCTCGAGTGATGAACATGGAGTGTTAAGTAAGAGTTTTGGAGTCCCCGTGTGCAGCCACTACATGTGCTGTAACGCCTCCTGGGCCTGTTCTGTGTACACGTCGTCTTTCCCCGCCCACGAGCCGAAGCCGCCGTCAAACTGCGCACTCCGCTGCGAAGTCCGCTGTTTGTCACGTGAGAAGAAACTAAACCTGAGACGAGAGACAGTTGAGAGGAGACAGAGGTGACGTGTCACATGACAGTGGGTTACAGTAACCTGTGTTTGCAGTGAATATCAGTTACGTGTAAAGCAGCGTTAAGAGTTATGGCAAACTACCATTTACAACAAAAAGTAAATCCTGTTTGGTCAGTTATGCATTCGTTGTGTTTTTAAATTAAGTCTCAGCTTTAATTACATCAACATAGAAAACTACGGATGTCAGGACCCACAGGTCAGTGTCTAATAAATACACATTTTTAAAGAGGCCTTTTTACCAGCACAGGTCACACCTGTGCAACAATCATGCTGTGTAGTCAGCATCTGTCAGACACACCTGTCAGGTGTCACCAACACGGATTTAAACACATTTATCAACCAGATCCGAGAGAAAGAAGCTCTTTAGATCTCTTACATCTTTAATTTCAACTCATGAAAAACTGGAGCAAAAACAAAAGTGTTGGATTTATATTTTTGTTCAGTTTATATTTTTGTTGGCTCAAATTCAATTGTACTTTGCATTAACATTATTTCTCCACAAAACATCATTAATGTGCCAGAAAAAAAAACATCTGTTTCTGTCATTAAAGTGTCTCATTTGTACGACGGAGTATTAGGGCGGAAAAAAACTAATCTGAAATTTCGAGAATAAAGTCATAAAAATAAAAATGTAAAATTTCGAGATAAAAAACCCCCCGTTATTTTTAGGAATATTATAAGTAACCAATCAAACGGGAGAAAGGACAGTCAGTGGCAGCTGCTGTTTGTCTAACAATAGAAGAGACTCAGTTTCTTCACAATCTTTTCAATGTCCTGATTAAAAACAACTCTGAACTTCACAGGATGTTTTAAAGCTTCTGATATTTCCCCTCTAAAACAACACAGAACCTAAAATTACCACTTTATTCTCATAACAATATGACTTCTTTTGCAAAATTACATCTTTATTCTCAACATTTCAGATTTTTGTTTTTCCTCATTGTAGCTCTAATACTCCGTCGTACATTTGGCACTGAGGACTGAAACACAAATATAAAGCTGTAGGCGAAGATGTTCTCCTTTGTTTGTTTGTTTGTTTACAGTAATTATAATAACGTCTCAAAATGAATTGTTTATTTGCTTCACAGAGAACCATAGTGTTAGAAAAGGTTAAGTCTTGTAATCGTTCATCACAGAGAAATGCAACAGGTTTTAATTTAATTTGAAGAGATCTGGATTTTAACTGAGACACTGGAGAGTAAAACACGATGAGCTGAGTTGTTGCAGAAGAGCTTTAAAAAAAAAAAAAAAAAAAAAAAAGTGCTGTAGCTTGTGATTATGATCATGATTGTGAGTCTGGAGCGCAGGTGCAGAGGTGAACAGGTAGTTACTGTGGTCAGTGACGGGAAAAAAGACGAGACGAGACGACAACAACAAACTGCACGCTTATTCTGACTGGCTGATTTTCACGATCCACAGTCATCCCGGTGGACGACGGTAATAAAGACAGCCCCACAATCAGCCAATCAGAATACTACACAGGCTCAGCACATGCAAAAAGGGGGTGGAGGCTGTTAGCAGAGGAGGTGACAACCAAATATAGAGTCATACAAGCGATATGAGACGTCTGATTGGCTGTAAAGTGGGGTCATCTGGGATCAAACCAGCCGCCACCATCGGCATAATGGCTGTGAAGATCCTGTTACACAGAGGTAAAGACACACACAGGAAGAGATACACAGAGAGGAGGGAGGGGTGGGGGGGGTGGGGCGAACAGGGGGAGACAGGGACCACATCAACCTTTGACCTCTGTTTGACCTCATGTAAAGTTCCCAACCAGAATCAAACCAAAAGAAGAAGAAGAAGAAGAAGAAGAAGAAGAAGAAGGAATCATGCCTGAGTTCATTTTAGTGGAGATAGAAAAATAAAACGAGTGCAGACACATGAAAACTGTTGACCTGACCCATGAGTGCACGCACGCACGCACACACACACACGCACACACACACACGCACACACGCACACGCACACACACACACACACACACACACACACACACAGAGGGTGGTGAGTGTGTCTGATAGGAAGGAAAAAGCAAAGCAAGGCGTCCTGCACCTGCTTCTCATGCACAGCGGTGGAAATGAACTCCTAGTTTTTACAGTTTTTATGCTTCACGCTTCGTTTCACAGAGAAATATTCTACTTTCTACTCCACGTTATTTATATAACAGCTGTAGTTACTTTTTATTTTTTAGATTAATTAAGTTTTTCTTTGGGTAAATTACATTTTATTAGTGAAAAAATGAGCCTTTCTTCATATGTTAATGCTCCGTTACATTATATTTCATGAACTTAAACAAACTCAACAGTAACGGCTTGAGAACAAGTCAGTACTTGTATAATAATATTCTGCTGTTTGGTTGTGACCAGCCTGTGTCGCAGGAAACACCGCACACACACGACAGTTTAAATGTTTCTACACATGTGCAAAAAACCAAAAACAAATGTGATAATTTGATAAAATACATTATTAAAGATTAAATCAGTGGTTCTTTGAGCAGAAAGCAGAATCTCGGGGCCCAGATTTTTCTTGTGAAACAGTGAAATTGTATATTTACACACTGATGCATCAGTTTTATCAATCTAACATTTACATTAAATGATAATAAGCTTCAAGTTCACGTCGCTGAAAGTTGTTTTTAGCGGAAACAGCTGAATCTGGTGCTAATGTGTGATGAGGTTTTGTTCAGCTGCTAGCTCAATATGAAGTAGCAGCTGATGTCACCAGCCTGATGTGGAGCCAGATGTTTGGTGAAGATTTCATTTGCAAATTTGAGCGTGCAGAGAACAAATCACCAACTCAGCACATGCAAAGCAGCTTTTTGACTTTACCTCAATTCTGACAGATCGCAACCTTCCTGAGGAGTGTGTGTGTATGTGTGTGTGTGTGTGTGTGTGTGCGTGTGTGTTTGCAGACAAGTGAGCACGACATACAGGCGTTTGATTCCTGACTCTGGTTGGGCAGTAGATCGGGAGCGAGTCCTCAGCTCAGGCGAGGGAGACGGAGACGGAGTGACCATCTCGTCATCCGTCTCATCACTGCAACGACAGAGCAGCACAACCAACATCCACATGTTACAGCTGCTTTTGGTTTATTGTCAACACGGCGACACATTTAGAAAATACAACACAGCTTTAAAGAGACAGAGCGATAAGGTTGTGGACTGGTATTTATCAAACCTCTAAGATTTACACTCAGGAGTAAAAACCTTGAGTTCACTGTTCATTACACTGTACATTAATGAGGAATAAAATGCATTAAACATATTACACACACACACACACACACACACACACACACACACACACACACACAGCGTTTTGATGAATAACACTGAAAGTAAACATAATGTGTTTGTGTACAAGAAAACTCCACAGGGAAGCTTTTAATTTGAAATTCACGGGGCATATTCAGTCAAATAAAGGTTTGTGATGTCTCTATATTATAATTTGAAATCCTTATTGTCAACAGTAACAATTAACAGCGATCAAGGGATTATTGGTGATTAATAAACTGAAATGAAAGCTTTAAAACAAAAGATCACTCCAGAACCCTCAGAGGGTTTGTGTTCACCTGTTCTTGTTCTGCACATTCAGGATCTACTCTTCCACCTCCGGAGCTCTCTTCAGTTTAACAGAAACTTTAAGTTGTTCTCTTAAGACTAAAATTTCACTTTTAGGGAAAACTAAAAAATCTTAATTCCATCATGTCTGACAGAGGAATTAGGAAACATCACATAGATCTCATCAGTACCTTTTGTAGTAGGCCAGCTCCTCCTGCAGCAGGAACACTTTGGCCTTCAGCTCGTTCCTCTCGTGGAGGACGTCCCTCAGCTCCTGCAGCGTGAACCGCGGCCGGTTGGGGTCCTTCGGGTCCAGGGCTCCCCCCGTCTCCTCCTCGCACAACGCCTCCTGCAGAGACGGAGAGACGCGTCACACGGAGGGAACGAAAACCAAGGAAGGGAAGGAAGGAGGGCGGGAAGGAAGTGAGGATACCTTGGTAAAATATTGGAACACAGCAGGCATGTCCTCATCGTACATCGCCTCCTGGTGGCAAACGTTGAAGTCAGACATCGAGCCTTGTTCCAATACACCTGTTTAGTTTAGTTCGCCCCTCCCTCCAGCTCTTTCAGCCACAACCCACTGTTTGTTTCTGTTTCTTTTAAACTCAGCACACCGAGACGTTCACCGTCTGTTACACACCTGAAACACCTCAGCATCACATGCAGCTGATTGAAGCCACTCATGCACTGAGCAAAGAAAACACCACAACTCTTATTAATACGTTTTCTATGTTTTCAAAGTCCAACTGAAATCACGTTTAGTCCTCCCTCCTTCAAATATAAAGTCGGTGTCTGCGCAGAATGTGTCTGTATCAAGGTTATAACAGCTTTACAGTTTTAATTATTATTTCATTTTGACTTTTTCTTTTCAATTTCAAGTTTAGTTTTAATTTTTAAAGCAGGTTTGTTCGTTTAGTTTCCTTTTTTATTTTTTGTGTAAAAAATGCTCCGTTTTAGTTCAGTTCTTATTAGTTTCAGGGGTGAGATTCAAAAAGAAAAAGATGAATCAACTCTAAATATCTCATGAACAAAGTGGACTCGTCGTCGGTGCTGCAGCTCTGTGGCTCATCATTGCAGTCGCTGCAGACATTAATACAGTGAATGTTAAAAGGCTTGAAGTGAACATGTTGTGGTCGTGAAGAGAGACAGTAAGATACTATAGAGATAAACAGGTATCCACCCAAAACACCAGACAAAAACTAAATAATAACTTAATAAATAATAATAATGAATTTAGTTTATTTTTCTAAAAACACAGTAGTTTCAATTTGTTATCATTTTTTTTTATAAAGCCTTGTGTTTATTTTTATTTCAGTTAATGAAAATATTATTTTCAGATCTAGTTTTTGTTACTTCGTTAGTTTTAGTTAATGATAAAAACCACAGTCTGTATGAGGTTGATTAAACGTATTATTATTATAAGAGGAGCAACAGTAACACGGCACTAACTTATATATGTTGCATTTCTCCTTCACAGTAAAAGCCTCCTGCTGGTTTTACTGTGAAGCAGGAAATGTTGGGTTTGCCTCAGTAGATTTCAGTAAACAGGAAAATAAACTCAACTAAACTCCAAACTACAGAGATTCAGGTAGAAACTACAAAAGAACTGAGAGTGTAAGAAACAGACTTTTCTCTCTGGTGGTCCTACGAAGCGGCTCGGCTCGGCTCGGCTCGGCTCGGCTCGGCTCGGATCAGCTGTCCCCTGCTGTGAGGCTGAAGTGGAAATGCGTATCATCTCCTGCAGAAGCCTAAAAGTAAACTAACCTGTCCTGAAGCCAACACACCCAGGTGAGATTTGCAGGCGAGTTAACATGTTTGTTTAATGTTCTGCAGCTAATTCGCTAACTGACATTAGCAGTGTGTGTTTGTGACTGAGGTCAAGAGGAGTCATGTGTGTTGTTGTTGTTGTGAGTCTGTTGCTCTGGTGTTGTGTAGCAGCAGCTGTCTGTCTGTCTGTCTGTCTGTCTGTCTGTCTCCCTGCCTCTGATGTAACACTGACCTCGCTGCTTTTTGAAGACATGGTTTAAATTAAAACATCTGCATTGGTTGCATGGAAACGAGTTCTCTAATATTCTGCTGGATTAATGCAAAGATACTAAAAATATATAATAATAAATAAATAAATGTCTCCCTTTTGTTTTCTGATTGTTTTTCTGCAGGAGAAAGGATTCACAGAGCAGATGTTTGAGCTGCAGCAGACAAGAGAAGAAATGTAATTTCAGTTGGACTTTAAGCTACCTCTACAACTGTCAGTGTTTCAGGGTCAAGGCGCATGACGGGAAAACTTCCAGAGCTGTTAGAGGCGGAGCGCATCTATATTTAGAGGGGTCGTCAGCGGCGTCGTCCAGAGTCTCACCCACTTGGCCGAGGAGCGAAAAAATCCCAGTGACACTCTGTTAGTTCACAAACAGCCGTGAAGAGCTGCCTCAGCACGGCTCATGAGTCAGACACGTGTTAGTCCACCAGCTTTATTTTTATGTGTGTTTCTATCTATAAGCTTCTTCCTCTTCTGGGGGGGGGTTGGGGGGGGGGGGTGCGGGTTTGGAGTTAGAGTCACAATCAACCACTGCTGGTTTTTGCTAACTAGCACTTCTGCATTACCCAAAGCAACACTGCCTCGTCATCCTCATCCCCATCGCCGGGCGCCCCCGGGCTGAGGGAGCCGGGCAGGGGCAGGGGCCGCGGCGGGGCGGGGTCAAACCCGCCCCCAGACATCAGCTCAGAGAGGCCGGGTCTGTCTGACCAGCCCTCAGCCCCTGCCACCGCCGCCGCCACTGCAGCAGCTTTACGACGCTGGTGGAGCAAAAGACAGTTTATTATCTGATCACTGAGCCTTTCAGTGAGAGAGAGAGAGAGAGAGAGAGAGTGTGTGTGTTTGTGTGTGTGTGTGTGTGTGTGTGTGTGTGTTCTGGTGATTTATGGACCTCGATCATTATGGATTTAAATGGGAGAATTATAGGTTTGAGCTTCTTGGCCTGTGACACTGCTTCGATGATTATAACTGAAGAATTCAACATTTAACTTTCTTGCTCAGAGTGAAATGAGACGAACTTTTCCTCTTAAGAACATTTAACAGTGTTTTGATAAGATCCAACAGGCCTTTTCCTCAGGAGACAGTCTGACATGCGGGAACAACACAGGAGGAAAACATAAGACGAACGATTCAGCGGCTCCAGTTTCTGGTATTGTGTGTGTGTGTGTGTGTGTGTGTGTGTGTTGGCTCACTGTCACTCTGTCATGGGACACTTCACTGTAACACCTGTGCTCTTTGTGCTAAGACAAGATCAAACCTCTGGCCTATGAAGAAAGAAATAACAACAGAGGACAAAGGTCCTGGGCCAGATTTCAACCCACAATGCACTGCAATTACATAAACGCTAACAGCATTAAAGCCATGATTTTGACACCATGACAGAATCTGATATTAAGTTCAGGCTGTAAAACTAACTTCAGTTTAACATTCAGAGTTTGAATGCGTCTGCGTGCTGCGTTACCTCTGCAGGTGAGGGGGGCTGAGGCGGGGTCTCCTCGGGACCGCGGCTCTGGGCGGGCAGCTCTCCCTGAAGCCGCTCCCTCAGGCGTGTGACTTCCTGCCGAAGGGCGCCGACTTCCTGTCCCCGCGCCTGAGCGCCGGCCTCCAGCTCCACCTTCTGCTCGATCAGCGCTTTGCCCTGAGCCTCCACCACCGAGATTTTGTGACGCAGGTCGTGGTTGATCTTCATGAGGCGAGACTGTTGCTGCTGGAGCTGCAGGAACACACAGAAGAAAAACAAAAATCAATGAGCAAACTACACAACTATAGTATCTAACACACTGTATGATTCCACCAATTACATGAAGCCGGGAGAAGAAAGCTAACATGGTAATATCAGAGGAAACTTCATATATAGGAAACCCAGTGAGGAAGACTCTCTGGTCGTGTCTACATCTTCAACCTTTTTGAGAAGGAGTGGGCCGTTTGGTTTTGGAGTTGATGTGATTTCTCCTTCTCTGTAACTCCAGAGCTCTCTGTGAGCTCTCTGTGAGCTCTGGAGTTCACGGCCACTGTGCAACAGTGACGTAAAAATGGCGACAGGTGTGGACGAGTTTGACGCAGCTGGACGGTTTAAGTTTCCAGGCAGTTTACAGATCTGCATTTTGATCAGTGTGAAAGCGAACATGATGAATGACAATTATCTGACTAAGGAAAACCACAAGAATAACACGTCCCACTTCACTGAAGTGTCTGTGTAAACAACGACAGCTCAGCATCACAGAGCTTCACGTCATTTTGTTTAAACCAAAATTATAAACAGCCGAGCGGGAAAAACACGCTCAGACTTACGTAACTTGGGAGTTGAAGAAACGATGAACGGAGCTACAGAAACAATCCATTCAGCTCTTTTTCATGTTTCAGAAACTTATATCTGCTGTGGCTACAAGGTTAGCTCCAGGGCTAACCGCCTTCGTTACAGCCATCGTTAACATCATTAATATGAACCTTCAATATGTCTGCAGTCTGTCTGTACTTATAAAATGTAATGCTTGTTTTCTGTAAACACATTCCTGTCAGATATTCTGGTTTTTGTCTTAATCTGATGCTAAAAATAGAAACTTGTGTGTTGTTCAGTTGAAACCGCCCACACCGCTTCTGCTCTCCTCCGACTAACCACGGGAGTCTGAACTCATCCGGACTCATCTGTTGCTTTACATGGTAAAATATCGGGAGTTGAACCAGCGTGGTGGTGCAGCTCTAAGGAGAAACCAGGAGCCCCTTCCTCCCGTCCTCTTACTGCTTCTATGTCCTCGTTCTTCAGCGTGAGCTCGCGGTCCTTGGCTCGGATCTCGTCTCTCTGCTTGTCCACCACTTCTTTCAGCTTCTTCATCACCTGCTTCTCTCTCTCCGTCATACCTGGACACCACAGACAGAGAGAGGAGGAGGAGGAGGAGGAGGAGGGTTAATCAGAAATAATACTTTGTCTTTATTGTCAGTGGAAGTCAGTGGACAGAGGGAAGTCTGACTGATGTGTGTGTGAGTGCAGCAGGTGTGTTTGAACACTGAGGCCGGTCTGTCAGAGTGACTGTGGCCTCTGTGTGAAACCACGACAAGACTGGCTCGCCGTCAGACACAGAGAAGGCTTCCTTTGTGTGTGTGTGTGTGTGTGTGTGTGTGTGTGTGTGTGTGTGTGTGTGTTTGTATCAGAGACAGATGGGAGTGTGAGACATAGCCGGTGTCAGCTGTCGGGGTTTCCATCGAAAAGTGACACAAATTTGAACCGAATTCCCCCGAAAATAAAATAAAAATGTTAGTTTCCATCCACTTCCTGTCATGTGACTGTCAGCAGCTGACTGATGCAGATAAACAGCAGGTGGCGCCAATTCTCCAGTCAGTGCCATTAAACCGTTGCAGAAGAAGAGGACGAGACGAGACGACGTAAATAAACGTTTTATCTCGTCAGTTTAAGGTTAATTTTTTGACAGATGTCTGATGAGGATGTTTGGTGTCTGAGTCGTCTGTTTGTTTTGAAGTGTCTTTGGTTTTTTGTTGGTGGTATTTATGTTTCGCCCACATCATCATTTATTCACCAAGTCTGTTTCCATCGCACTCTGTTTTTATTGATGCACAAACTTTTCCACCTCAGCAAAGTGTAAAAACTAGTTTATGATGTTTTTCTTTTTTAATTCTCAAAGTTTCTTTGAATTTTTCTTTCTTTCTTTTCTTTAGTTTTTTTATAAATTGAAAGTTTTCTCTTCGTGGGTTGCTGAACTTTTCTTTTACTGTTGTTATTTTGAGAAACGCTTCATTCATTTTCCCGCCGAGAGTTACATTATAATATATATATTTATAAATGTTATAATACAGCTGTTAAGTCCCTCATATTTCCTGTCTACTCACCCAAGATTACATCACATGTTCTGGTTTTTTACTGTCTAAGGTGCGTGAACTTTCAGCGGGTGTGTGTGTGTTTGTGTGTGTGTGTGTGTTTGCTCGTCCTCACCCTCGTGCCTCTGCAGGTCCTCCTCACTCAGCGGGTCTTTGATGGACATGTTAGTGAGGAGAGTTTTGTTCTCCTCCTGCAGCTGGGCGATCTGGGAGAGCAGATCCTGAGCTTCTCCTCTCCACACGTCCTCCACCAGCTCCAGCTCCTGCACACACACACACACACACACACACACACACACACACACACACACACACACACACACACACACACACACAGTTATATTAAACATTATTAAACATCATTGACCACATGTTACATACGCATCAAGACGACCACATCTTCTTTTAAGCCTACATTTCTTTACACTTTGACAAACTGGCGCCATTAAAAAAAGAAGAAAACTTCTGGAGCTATAACGACCGTCTTTTTTTCTATGATTCATAAGAGGATTTTTTGGACGTTTATTTTCTATGGAGATCCCAGATAATGTTGTCCTCAGGAAGTGGAGGTCACACTTAATCTAAAAATATGTGTATCGTGTGTGTGTGTGTGTGTGTGTGTGTGTGTGTGTGTGTGTGTGTGTTAAGATGTGACTCAGAGGAAGTAACCATCCAGGAAGGACGATCCAACAGTTTGAAAACCTCTCTGCTAGAAGGGGCTAAACAACCCAAGTCTCTTCCAGGTGTTTGGCAGGTTTGAGTGTGGGGGCCGTAAAGACTTATGATCCACATCAGACCCTTCAGTGATACTTCGATCTGACCCAGAAATCCTCATGGGATTTTAACCCCTGTGTATTTTTGCAGCAGCTGTGTCTGGAATCTCCGCCACCTACAGAAACATCCACTTTATCACAGTCATGAGACGCAGTTAATCAGTGAACCGCCGCTCCGTCACCGTCACGAGAAACTGACATATCAACTTTTTTATAGCAGCGAGCAGACCGAGTGTCGGGCGGATTTAAAACCACCATGAGATTCACACAGCGTAAAGTGCCGAGCTGAAGTTCAATTTTGAGCCACTTAACTTGAGAATTTCCATTTTATGCTACTTTACACTCCCACTCCACCAACATTTGAGAGGGGAATACTGCACTGTTTACTCCACCACATTCACCTGACAGCTGCAGTTAATAGTTACTTTTCAGATCTTAAAAGTTTCCTGAAGTTTTTACATAAAAAATGTATTCATGTAATAATATACAATTAACTGAATTGTTACAGATGAAATAAGTGGTTTTCAACTTCTCTGGATTGGAACCTCTGACAAAAAAAGCAGTGTGCTGTGTCAGAAAATTAATTTTGATGATCAATTAATTGTTTATTCGTTGTTATTTTAAGCTAAAATACCAAATATTGACATTCAATAAGCAAATATTAATATGGTAATACTTAAGACAATATGAAGATGTCACCAGGTTTTTAGGAAACTGCGATGGCCATTTTCCAATCTAACTGTGATAATGTAGCTCTGTGACATTTTGGTACTTCATTATTTTTTCTTCCTGTATTTCTTGTCTTACTCTTATGGCAACAGTAGCGTTACCACGGATACCAGCTAGTTTTTGAAGGAGGTTTCCTGCATTACAGATTGTGCACTCCTGAATTCTTGTCGTGGTTTGATGACTAATTGGGAACAATCACACATTTGACCAAAATAACTTCAGCGTGAAAAGGAACAAGATTAGCTGAGCAAACAGGAAGTGTCCCACTGGGCGAGTTAAGTACTGTACTCTCTAATTCTGTACTTAAGTACAAATTTGAGGTATTTGTACTGAGTATTTTAATTTTATGACATTTCTACTACACTGAATTTATCTGACAACTGTTTTTACTTTACAAGTTGAGATTATACACAAAAACAGTGTAGAACTTTAACAGTAGAAGTGGTACTTTTACTTGTACTGGAGTATTATACAGGGGTGTTGTATGATGTGCTGACGTCAATGTCTCGTCAGTCTCTGAGGTTTGTTACCGGTAGTTTATTGCTGCTCTGTCTGAACACAGTTAATATTGCTGTTTTCTTCATCACAGTGTGTAACTACCTGCTGTACAGTTAAACTTACACTAGTTCTGCTCACGGCACCCAGAGCTTTCTGCTCCTTTTAGCGACTTTCACTAATTCAGCCGTTGTTAACGTGCTATTCAGGCGTGCTAGCTACTTTAGCTTAGCAGTTAGCACTAGCTTCTCTCGCTCTCTCTCTTTAGCTCGGTGTTTCTTGGACCAACAAGTGAACTTGTTCAGAGTGTGCTGTTGGTTTAACTTCAGTGTAGAGGATTGTGACGTTTATTAAAACTTCAGTGACGTCTGCTGTCTTACAGTTTACCTGTAGCTCTGCTCGTTAATTGCAGCGGCGCTAATCTGTGTTATTTTGAGTACAAAGCAGTCTTCAGCGTGATAGGCTATTACTCGTGACGTCAAACCAATCAGATCGTGCTGTGGGCGGGACATTACTGACAGCGCTAACTACAGACCAGTGACAGGCGGCTGCATTAAAGCCAAAGCAGCACAATTTCTTTATTTTATCGGTTGTCAGTTAAAGAAAATAACGATTTCGATAATCAGAAAATGAGAAATATATCTACTTTAGTTATAGGAAAGATCTAATATGACTTCACTCCAAAACATAGTGGGAACGAGTTCACTCAGATATTAGTAGGGACGATTCTGTCCTCCCAAAATACTGGTAGGGACATGACCCTACTGTCCATGCGCTAACCTACGCCCTTGGTACTGGCACTGTTACTTGTAATGGAGTATTATACAGTGCGGTACTGGTACCTACTTATACTAGAGTATTATACAGAGTGGTACTGGTACTGTTACTTGTAATGGAGTATTATACAGTGCGATATTGGTACTTTTACTTGTACTAGAGTATCATACAGAGTGGTACTGGTACTGTTACTTGTAATGGAGTATTATACTGTGCGGTATCTGTACTTTTACTTCTAGGAGAATAGTATACAGTGTGGCACTGGTACTTTTACTTGTACTAGAGTAGTATACAGTGTGGTACTGGTACTTTTACTTGTAATGGAGTATTATATATTATGGTACTGGTACTTCTACTTCAGTCACAATCTGAAGACCTCTTCCTCCTCTGGTTAAATCACAGTCTGAGAGGAAACTCTGTGGCCCTGGTTTGTTTGTTTGTTTGTTTGTTTACTAAAAGGAAACAACTTGTCAGCAGCTGATTAAAGATAAAACTACAGCTGTGATAAACACAGAGTCTGCTCAGCAGCATCACTGTGAAGTGTCCTCACCTTCTTGTGCTTCTTCTCCTTCTCCAGCCGGTCAAGTCTCTCCAGCCGCAGCTTGTCCAGCTCCAGCCGCAGCTCCTCGGTCTCGGGAGTGATGCTGCTCCGGCTCACCATCACCTCCAGGATCTCCAGCACCCGCACCACTTTGGGCATGAGCCTGGACAGAGCCTCGCAGCCGTATTGATCTATAATCCGCTCGAACTCCTGGCCCACCACGGCGGCGATGTCGTACACGTCCATCACCGTGAGGTCAGCCACATTTTTCTCCAGGGCCGACCCGGAGTCCTCCATGTCGGGATATTTCGGCCCTCCCCGGTTTCCGATTATGTTTCCTTCGCCACCGCAAACTTCCTCCCTCTGGAAGAACAGCCCTGCGAAGTTACACCGCTCCTCTTCGCCTCCACTGCCCGGACACAAACACACAACCACGGCAGCTCCGACACTCTCTCTACCGCCGGCCTGTCACTGCCGCCGGGCTCCGGGCTGTAGTTTGATTTATTTGGGATAAATATCAGCTGCGTCCCATCGCTGTCCTCCCTGCTGCTCCAGCTACTCCACAGTAAAACATCACACTTCCGGCTACACCTTTCACAATAAAACCAGCGACAAGAAAATGTGTCGCAACAATTTATCGGTGATTAAACATTTCGAGATTTTAAGCAGCAGGTTGAAGGTACGATGCTGGATTACAAGTAGGTAACCGCCCAGGGGCCCTCAAAGACCACATTTACTCCATATCATTTCTGTCTAATTAATCTGATTAATCACACATTTGTTAGAAATTTGCACCATTGTTAAAACCATTAATCTGTAGGTGCAGCCCAGACTACTTGGAAGGAGATTAAAGAGGCAACAACAAGGGGATTTCCAGCTCAAGCTGTGACTTGAGATACATTTTTGCTGAATAACTTAATTAATTTGGTAAATCCATGGATCAGTGTGTGAGTTTTGAGAAGGAGTATGATGTTTTCAAATCCGGAAGATGCAGTATGGTTTGAATGATAATGATTTTTTTAGATTTCTTCAATTAGCTGAGGGAAATGAACAGAATTATTCAGATAATAATCTGCCATAAATCTTCATAGAGGCGTATGTTTTGAAATTAAACCATAAAACCATCTCACAAACTTTGTCTACGACAATGAAAATGTAACTCATTGTATGTGAAACAAAAATGGGAAAAAGAGGGAAATCTAATGAGGAATGGGAAAATTTATGTAAACAACAATGGAAAACATCACGAGATTCGTAGGAAAAAAGATCATCAGGTTCTTCATTAAGACTCATTATGCAAAACAGTCCAGTTTTCCAATATTAAGCCCATTCTGGCAGAAAGTTCATAAAGTTTTGTGAAAAGTTTTCATTTAAATTTGAGACCCTGCGTTATCCTCAGTGCTGCTGGAAGAAAAGCTGTTACCAGAAAGTGGCTCAACCCAGAAAAACCTCAGAGAGATGACTGGACTGTAAAGGTTTTAAAGATATAGGAACATTAAATCTTTTACATTACACATCAACATCCATCAAGTGTTTGATGCAAATTTCTTTGTCTCTTTGGTTTTTTTTTTATCTTCCTTACTTTAGTGAATTTTATATTTCATAACATTTAAATTAAATGTAATCCTCATTAGGCTGAAATGTGAGATCTCTTAACATTAGTATGCTTTACCATTCAACTTGGAGGGGGGGGTCTATGCTTTTATTTTGAAGGAAATGCTATCCAATTCCGGTATCTTTCAACCTCCCTTTTCCTAACTTGACGCACCTCTTCCTCTTCGTTCCCAATGGGACTCTACAGTGGCCACTTCCATGGTGGTGAGATTGCAGTTTGTATTGCGCATGACAGAAATAACCGACAGATGAGGTCGCTGTGAGAATTTATTACAGCATGAAGAGACCTCCACTTGTTTCCGACTGACACACTTCAGCTGGAGCTGCGGGTCTGTAACACAACACCTGTCCTCCGCCGCTGTAACAGCTGACATGGAGCATGGGGCAGGAATATCAAACAGTATATCACAGCTGTAAATCAGATTTAATGATTTACAAAATTATGTTTAAATGAGTCATCCCCAGATTTGCTCAGTTGTCACTTAAAGTTACGCAGCATTAATTAAAAATAAATAAATATAATCAATAAACACTTTCTATTTCATATGCATGGGAATTTTAAAGACATTTATGTGTTTATGTTCTATATATATTTTGTAGTGTGTTATATTATATTGTAAATAATTCATTGATAGTTTATACATGGTTACTGTTGGTAACTTTAGTAAAAAGATGGTACGATTGCACAGAAATAATTCACTAACTTCATTAACAAACCCTTAAGATGTCCTTATATGTGCTTGAATGAGGGGTTAATGACAGAAGTAAATTTATATCTGAAATATAATTTATTTTCCAGCAAATTAAAAAAGAGAGGAAGTTGAAAAACGACAAAAAGGTTTAGCCATTTGAGATTTTGAGATTTTATCAAGGAGGCGTCTGATTGGTCCAAACACACATCTATAGAGTCATGAAGAAGTAGAAGGTCAGTTAGAAAATAAAATAAAATATTGTGGTATAAATTGCACATTTTCAGTATATGTCATACGGCCTTTAAACTGCTGTAACGTTTTACACAGAGATAAAATGGTTAAAATCAATATATTAAAAAGGACATTTACTCTTGAATCTTCACGTTTTCTTTTTCAGTCACACTTCAGGACTCCCCTGTTCCAGCCTCACCTCGTTTGAACTGTAATTAGAAAACAAATAGACTCATGTTTACGTCATCTACTCAGATTACTCACATGAGAGATGAATATAAAAACTTCCAGCACTTACCGCGTTCTTCAGCAGGTTTCCGGATTTGGTAAAGATGTTTGATTTCCTGGAGGCCGGCTTGGTGGCCTCGGTGTTCTGAGGGGTCGTCCGGGGCTGGGAGGGGCCGGAGGGCGTGTGTGACGACGGCTGAGGCGCCGAATAAGTCTGAGGTTTTACGTAGCTTTGTGTTGGGTTTGGTGTGTAGGGCTGAGATGGGATGTAGGGCTGGGAGGGGGTGTAGGTTTGAGAGGGGGTGTAGGTTTGAGAGGGGGTGTAGGTTTGAGAGGGGGTGTATGTTTGAGAGGGGGTGTAGGTTTGAGAGGGGGTGTAGGTATTAGTTGATGTGTAGGACTGAGGCAGCGAGACGGGTTGTGTTTGAGCCGGAGCGAACGGATTGGTCGACGCAAAGCTCTGAGTGTTCAGGTAAGGCTGAGGCAGCGGCTCGGAGGAGTCGAGCAGGGTGGGCGGCGGCGGCGGAGGGAAGCTGTCAGACGCCTCCTCTGCGTCGTCGCTCTCAGAGATGCCGATCTCGTAGTGCCTCTTCCTCAGCTCCCCCAGACGGACGCGCTCCTGCTCCAGCTCACTCTCCAGCTGCAGCACCTTCACCTGCGGGATTCAGAGAGCAGAGCGTCCTCCATCAGCCGCAGACGATCAAACCAACTGCACTAAGAGGAGACGGTGAATGTGCGGACATCATGAGCCTCACCTGAGCTTCCATTTCCTCTTTTTTCAGCTTGATCAGAGACATGCCTGAGAAGTCCATCACACCTGTGAAGACATCAGAGTTAAAGCTGCTAGAATCAATATTTGTAGGTCCAGAGTGACCAAGTGACTTTTAATATTCATGTTCTCCAGAGGATCAATCCCTGACTTTTCTTTGAGCCAAACCATTTAATTGAAATGGATTTGATGATCTTTGGTTCAGACGTTCATCGTCTCACCGTGGTCAGAGATCTGCTTCTGCCCGTGTTTGGTGGAGGTGACGACCACGGCAGCCATGTCGTTTACATGTCGCGATGCGTGCTGCAGCGTGTTCAGCTTCCTGTTGTTGCGGTCGGCCTTCACCTGAAAGGACAAGAAATCGCATCAGCAACTGTAGAGTTCTCCCAGAAAAACAACAAGTCTTTCCAGAAACGGTCCCTTTACGCTCGATAGTCCACACAGGAACATTTTTCTTTATTGCACCTATTTCTGAAAGAGGAAATAGTCCCATTGAAAACTGTAGACAGGTGAAGCGAGCAGGTGGAGGTGGAGCTCGTTTTATCTGCAGTTAGCAAGTTCAGTCTAGTTGTTCCCAATATGAGAGTCGTCCCCTCCAAAGAGGGGATTGTGCGATGATTCATGGGAAAGAAGAAAATCTGCTTCTCTCTGATCTTTGCTCAAACAGTTACTGACATGAAAACATCTCAGAAGTTTGGAGGAGACATTTTCTCTTTGGTGGAACTGATAACACCTCATACACACCTGAAATGTGACATGGGTTCACAAATCAGAATCTGAGAAGTAAGAAACTATTGTCTCAAATAAATGTATTGATCTCCCTCCAAAGCTGAGCAGAAGTGTAGAGGAGCATAAAATGGAAATATGCAAGTTAAGACGTTGCAGCATCCATCACCTGTGTGTGCGTTGTGAGGTGAGTTTGTACCTTTGAGGCAGCGACCAGCTGGGCGGTGCTCGCGGCGATCTCGTGTGAGCAGGCGATGAGCTCCTCGTACGTACCGTTGTCACCCACGACCCGGTCAGCTGAGTCTCTGACAGCAAACACATAAACGCACAAATACAATTTCATGATATAGTCTGACATTCAGTACGAGTGTAATAACGTACGTGTTTGCACCGATGGTTGTTGGCACTTACAGCAGCTGTGTGGCGCCCCAGCCCACGGCCTTCGAGGCAGAGATGAGTCCTTCAGTCCAGCGGGAGTTTTTGGCATAAAATTCTGTGACAGACGCGGCTCCCTGCAGAGACAACCATCACAAAAACATGACTGTATCACACACAAAACTTCATTTAGACACGTTTAATCACCATATAGAATGAAATTTAATACTTTTTCATGGTCACACAGTTATTTATTATGTACATGAATTTATTGACATTTATTTTACATTTTAATTTATTATATATCATTATCATTATCATTATCATTATAACAATAATTGTGAGTAATATAATTAATTAATTAATGTGATCTGGGCGCTAATAAGCAAACAGTTGAACTTAAACGCATCAGAATTAAAGATCTATGCCTTTATTTGATCAGTGCACCAGAATATTTCATGGATTTTTCTTTAACCATTTCATTTAAAATTAACTCTTAAATCATCATTATTTATGACTTTTTCCAGATTTTCTTGCAGAATAACATCATTGACTACAATGAATAATCCAAGGTAAGATTTAGGTTAAATCCTTGTTTCTGATTGGTTGTTCCTGCTCTGAGCATGTACATGTGAATAGATGTGACTTCTTTTTGTATTTTCAAAGAACTGAAACTGGCTCTTAAATATTAATTCTGCAAAGGAGAAGATCTGTGGCTGTAACTCACCCTGCCTCCTTCCACGATGTCTTTCTGTAAGTCCGTGGCAGCCGTCACCAGCATGTGGACAGCCTGCAGAGCAGAGGGCGGAGCCGGAGGAAGGGAAATTGAATTGAAGTGAAAGTGAATCGTGAGTTCATAGAAAATGATTTGAAACTGGACGGAGTTTTTACCTTCATCAGGTCTGAACATGATCCCAGGATGCTGTGATGAAACAGAGGGGAAAAAGAAATCTCAATTCGATTTTCAAATAAAAAAGAGAAGGAGAGGAAGTTTAAAAAACAGTTTGTCTCTTACCTCTGGTTGACCTCCAGCTTCACGCCGCTCCCGTCTCTCTTTGCCTGATTCATGATCTCCTGTGAAACACAAACTGAAGCATCAGCAGGTGCAGGTGTGTCCCGAGTTTGTCATGCTTCCATCTTGTGTCATGATATGTGTGTGTGTGTGTGTGTGTGTGTGTGTCCCTACGTCCATTCGCAGCACAGCCTCCTCGATGGCGGTGGATGTGGCGATCATCTCTTTATCCACCATGCTGCCCAGCTCCTCTTTCAGCACATCCTGACCTTTTGGACGCAAATCCTTAACAGGACACACACAGTTACAGAGTTTTACACTGGAGACGTGTCTGATACGTGATGTGATGATACTGAGATGTGACATGATAGAAATGATGTGTGTTTTATGTTTACGCTGGGGTTTGGAGATTTACTCAAAGGCCAACAACATAAACTGAGATCACAACTTTTCCACCACAGTCAGAAAAGTTTTGGCTTTTTCACGTGTTTTTCTTTTTTGTCGTCTTCCTGGTTTGACGTGCTCTCAGTTACTTCCTGTTTACTGACTGTCAGTCGGAGCTTTTGACCATTAAACTCCAAATACTCTAAAAACCAAATATTCAGGGACTTTAAAATTGGCTGTGATGTTTTTATTTATTTATTTATTATTTATTGATTTATTTTCCTGGGCTGTTGTGAACCTCTGTAGCAGATTTTAGGTGTCCTGGACTTGACCCCTGCAGTGTCACGCTGAGAGGTCAAAACTCTCTTGCTATTAGCCATGCTAGCAGCGTAGCTCTGAAGGTGACAGTCTCTCTGCTCTTCAGTCAGACTCAAATATCTCAGCAACACGTGACATGACATTTTGATGTTGTACAGACATTCGTGTTCCCCTGAGGATGGATTATAAGGGCTTTGGTGATCCTCTGTTGTGCCCCACCTGTCCCAAAGCGAGGATGCGTTGAACAGTGTAGCGTATGGCGGAGGGGTCGGCTCTCTGTAAAGTGGCCTGAAGCTTCAGATCCTTCAGGAACTGGAGGCAGTTGTTCGCACAGTCCCGGCAGCTGTCAGTTAAACCTGCACGAGACAAAGAAACAGGAAGCAGAGTGTTCAGCGCTCAGTGTGTATCACTAGCAGTGACAGTGAGAGTGTGTGTGTGTGTGTGTGTGTGTGTGTGTGTGTGTGTGCGTCTCTTACGGTCGGCCTGGTCTGTGGGAGCAGAGTGTGACGTCGCTGCTCCGTTGACGATAGTGTCGGCAGCGAGGTGGGAAAACTGAGTGACGGATCTCAACAGACCGCTGGCGTCTGAGAGGAAGAGAGGAGCGTCAGATACACTGAGCACCTGAGGGAAACACACAACGTCTCCAAACCAGAACACACACACACACACACACACACAGCCCCCTCACTACCCACCGGTCCTGTTTCCCAGGTAGACCACGTGACTCTGCTGCATTTTGTCGATGGAGGCCAGAGTGATTTCAGCTCGGTTCACCAGATAATCTGAAACACAGACATGATGCGGACGAACAACAGCAACAATGATGATGAAGACCAAGCAGGACTGAGTACAGGGGAGTTAATGGTCACATTATCTAGCATTAGCACAGTATGAATAATTAATAAAGAGCCTATAACACTGTATAATATAGTTATACGCAGATATAAAGACATTTTAACTGTTTATTACTGTCTTCATTAACAACTATAACTCCTCCTGTGGACACACATTAACAGATAATGTAGTAAAACAGTTATAATCATATAAACATACACACACAACTATATTATACTGTTATAAACCATCTGTTAAATGTTTATATGCTGCTTTTAAATGGCCAATTGTGCAAATTATTGATTGATTGAATTGAATCATTGATGATATCCTCCTCGGCTCCTGCCCAGATGTTTGACGGTTGGTCTCTTTGACTCTGGGATTGGTTATTGTTGCCTTTATATTTGCGATTGTTGTAATTTGTGATGAAACGATGAAAATATTTGTTTTTCAGAGTGGAAAGGATTTCTACCAGGTGAGCTGATGCAGCGGACGTGTATGGGGTCGTCCAGTTTGGCCACAGCGTCCAGTATGATGCCCTCGGCCTCCACCACAGCGCACTGCAGCAGACAGAACTGCTCCTCCTGCAGCTTCTGGGACAGCTCTCCTTCACGACAGGCCTGGTGTCACACACACACACACACACACACACACACACACACACACACACACACACACACACACACACACGAACTCATGAGTAACTAACTAACTGCTAAGAAATTCAAACAGCTTCTCTACACAGTGTGAAACACAGACTCCACCTGCTGCTGTAACTGGGCGTGCAAGCTTCCCAGCTCCATGCTGCTCCGCTGCCTCTCCTGCTCCAGGGAGCTCTGCTGGAGCTGAGCTTGTTGTCTGAGGGAGTTCAGCTCCGCCTCCTGGTCCCTCATCGAGCGGAGCAGCACCTCCCTCTCCGCCTGCAGCCCCGAGAGCGTGCTGCTCAGCTGGGTACCACTCTGAGGAACGAAACGTGCACAGGTGGCGTTACCGCTGATGCTTCATCTCACGTAAAAGAGGACGTGATGTAAGATGTGAGGCAAGTTTTCTGCTACCATTTCTTTGCTCTGCAGGGCGCTGTTTGCACGAGCCAGCTCTGCTCGTGTTGAGTCCAGCTCTCGTCTCAGTCTGTCAATCTCTAACTTCTGCTCTGCGTTGATGGCAAGCTGCAAAACACAGACACGAACAGGCATTAAAAACAGATATATGAAACACTTTGTACAGCACTTTTCAAGCAAAGAGCAGAGCTACATACGCTCAGTCGTCCGTCCGTCCTCACCTGTTGCTGCAGCTGAGCCCTCAGCGCCTCCAGCTCCCTGTTGTACCTGTCTCTCTCCAGGTCCAGGGAGCTGTGCTGCTGCTGCGCCTGTTGTCTCAGCGAGGACAGCTCTGCGTCTCTGTCCCTGGCCGAACGCAGCAGCACGTCCCGCTCCGCCTGCAGAGCTGCCAGGCTGCTGCTCGCCTGAGATCCCTCCTGCGGACAAACGACACAGGAAGGTGGATGTAATTAAACATCAGGCCTCTGGATGAGAGGATCCGATAAACTGAGCAACAAGCAAACAGAAAAAACAAGAGGGAATATTTTGAGCTGAATATCCTGGAGGATAAGACGCTCTTCACATCACACCATGATGGTTTCAAATGGACTAATGAGGCTGATAAAAACAGGATGAATAGGACATGAAATCTAAATTATATTCACTTTCATTTCATTATTTGATCTTCATGAAACATTCCCCTGAGTGTTGGGTCAAAATTTGAATGAACCAGTGTCATATAATTAAATAAAAGGCTTACATACAAACATTTCTGAAACATACTCAGGGCCCGGAGCGTTTAGTGACTTGAAGACAAGAAGTAAAACTTTGAATTGAACTCTGTATCCGACTGGAAGCCTGTAAAACCTGAGAGCTGGAGGAACCAGTCAGAACCCGAGCAGCAGCTTCTGAATATGAGCTGTAGCTGTTTAGCTCAGTCTCTCACCATCTCCTTGTTTTCCAGCGCGCCGCGGAGGAGAGCCAGCTCCGCTCTCTGCTCCAGCAGCTCTTTGCTGAGGCGGTCGACCTCCTGCTGCTGCTGACTCACCTGATTGGAGAGAGAGAGAGAGAGAGAGAGAGAGGGGAGTCACTGATTCAGTGTCTCGTGACGACATCAGGTAAGTTGTCTGAGCTGCACTGAGCTCTCACCGCGTTTCTTCTCTCCTGTCGTAGATGTTCCAGCTCACTCTCCAGCTGTCTCCTGGCTCTCAGCAAATCGTCTTGGTCTTGTTTGGAAGAGGACAGCAGCCTCACCGTGTCTGCGTTCTGCTCACACACAGCACACCACACACCACACACATACACACACAGCACACACAACACACACACACACACACACGACAACAGGGGTTGCACAACTCCGGACTGAACCTGTCGCTCGTATTGATCATCTCGTTCAGTTTACCTTCTTCATTAGGTCAGCGTGACTGGTCACCAGCTCCGCGTGTCTCTCCTTGAGCTGACTGAAACGAAGCTCTGCAGCCTGAGCTCGACCTGTGCGGACGTGACAGGATGAAGAGGCAGATGAGGATGAAGAAGTTCAAGCTGCATGCACGCGGCTCATTCACCAACTCTACACTCACCATCTGCCTCCTTGAACCCGATCTGGGCCCCGACGTTGGCGACGTTAGCGCTCCGTAAAGCGTCCACCTCCATCCGCAGGTGCTCGTTCTCCACCATCGCCATCTGTTTGTGGGTGCGCTGCTCCTCGACCTCGGACTCCAGGCGGTTCACCTGAGCCTTTAACTCCGTCACACACCTCTGAGCCTGAGGACAGGAGGGGCAATCTTAGAGATGAGGGGAATGAGGACAATGGGGTTGTTCTTTTTTTTTCCATGTTTATATTCTGTAATTGATTTTTCTTGCTGTTCTTATTATCACTATAATTATCATCCTTTAGTAATTGTCCTTTGTTCTGTGATGTTTCTTCTTCATTGCCTGATTGTGGACGGATCTGGAGGACTCCAGATGTGTTCACATTCTTGACGTAATATACTTTGCATATGATTCATCCCTCCAGTTATATGTCATTTTTATTTTACATTTTAGGCCGACACATGTTTTTATCAACCATGTTTATTCCAGTTACTATTCATTCTATTTATTGACTATTGTACTTTATTTTGATGGTCTGGTGTTTTTAAATTAAACGTTATTTTGTTTCTATGTGTGTAAATGCACAGAAACGACCATTAAAGGAAATCTGAAATCTTATATTTATACAATAAATAATTGATAGGAAAAAGATAAACTCAGACACTTTCTTCAGATATCATTATCTCTGACGTCCATGTGACGTCTGCTTGGATCATAGAAATAAGATGAAATAAGCTGCGGAACTCGATCGGTTTGATTTTGTCTGAAGAAACCGTCTCGGACCATCCGCTCCAACAACATGCCGCACAGTTCACCTCGGTCTTGATGAGCTGCAGCTCTGGTTTCAGCACCTCCAGCTCCCTCCTCATGCTCTCGCTCTCCGTCTCTCTGTGCTCCAGCGGAGCGTCAGGAGCTCCCATCTGGCTGAGCAGATAGTACTGAACAACAAAAAACACAATGTCGGCCACAGATACCAGACATTTACAATCATTCATCTTTTGACTTGCATGTAAACACACCTGTGGCATCTGCGCTGCTTCCCTGAACTCCGGCTGTGGCTCCGCCTCCTCCTCCTCGTGACGCTCCTCGTTCGGCATCACCACCACCGGCTTCTTATACTCCGCCAAGGCGGCGGCTCGGAGGAAGTTCGGAGGAGCCTGCAAGGTGATAACAACCAGAACACACACATGCATGACTGAGATCAACAACAACAACAACAACAACAACAACAACTGATTTATGAACATGTGGAAACTCCCGCCCTGTTGCTTACATCTGGGAGATCTGGGATCTGGATGATGCTTTTAAAGAACTCCATCTCTCTGGCTCTGTCGAAGAAGTGAGTGAGGCTGCAGACGAGAACACAGAGCTCATTAGAGACAGACAAGAGCGTTGATGTCTAATTATACTAATAATACTCTGTGATTGTGTGGAGTTAATCACACAGTCGGGAGGTGGCTCTGCTGTATGTCTCCAGTGTTGTTTAGATAGAAGACAGAGATGTGAGAGCTGGTTTTCTTCCTCTGAGTGAGACACATTTTCTTCTGCACTGTCCAAACTATAACTGTGATGTAAGAGAGTTCATTTCCCTGAAATGTTTCAACGAAACCCTGAAACATTCTGATGTGCAGACGATCAAAAACCGTTTCATTTTGATGCGTTTGAGTTTTCTAATTTGTCTCAGACTCCTGGGAAAGAAGGAGAGAAGGAGGATTTAATGAGTATTTATTCTGATTTCTTCAGTTCTATATAATTTATGTCTGTGTCACTGATTTATGAATTCTGTTGTTGAGAATCATGATCTGAGGATTTGACTGTGAAAGATGTTTAAGTTGCTTCTCCTGTTTGGAA